ATCTTTTTTGGTCGCGGAATGTCACGATTGGCGACCCAAAATTTTTGGTCGCGGAATGTCACAATTGGCGACCAAACTTTTTGGTCGGGAAAATTTCACTTTTCGCGACCAAAGTGTTTTAGCGACTAAATGAATTAGTCGCGGTAATGATATATTTCGCGACCAAAAATTTGGTCGGCAAATCTGACTTTTCCCGACCAACCAAAATTTTGGTCGCGAATTACTTTTGCCGACCCTCAATTGGCGACCAAAGTAGTGACCAAAAAAATTGGTCGCGAATAACTTTTACCGACCAAAAATTGACTTTTAACGACCAATTTTTTTGTTGCTAAAAGTGTTAATTCTTGTAGTGATTAAATTTTGAAAACTCCATTAATATATATTATTTTAATGTTAATTTTATTTTATGCTTGTTGATCTAAACCAACAAGTATTTCTCAAGTTCTACAGCTAAATTGCCTTTTTTCAACTTTAATTCTATAATCCAAGTAATTCACTGGGTAAGGAAAAGATGAATAGGTAGGTATACCCAACATGAAAAGAATCTTCCAAATTTACAGCTATGAAAAGGACCTTTTAATGAAAAAGAATGTTAAACTTTCATGGTGGAATTAATGTTCAAAATTGTCTTTAATTTTTCCCGGTGACTGATTCGATGACCATATCGAGAAACATTAGAGAGCCACAACTTATAATACACTCACAAACAAAAGAGAATTAAACTTTACGCGGTTGAATTTGCGACAATTAAAAATTGACACAAACCTATCATGTCTGCGTAGGTAAATTAGGAGAACTTTTTTAAATGTCTCAATCTTTTTCTTTTTTATAAAATCATATTATTACAATTATCAAATTAATATGATTTTTTAATGTATAATTTTTACATATCGACTTAAAAAATAAACGAGTCAAATCATCAAAATAAATCTCGAGCTCACAAAACAAAACTAGACCAATCTAATTTCTCTACAAACTTGAGATAAATGATGGGGGTAAATTATTGTTCTCTTTGTTTTATCATCTTATGCTTTACAACATTATGGTTTTAATCATCATTGATCAAAGTGGATGAAGTGTGCATTAATTTACACAAATTTCTTCAAACTAACCTAAAGTTGGGTGAGACTGGTGGCAGGTCCTTACCCGAATTAAACAACTGAACCAACTGTCACTAATCAAAGCGATTTGATTAGTGCCAAATTCATATTCAGAGAGTGATTTATGCTGAATAATTTGTAGTCCGGGAGTATATTGAGAAATTGCTGATATCAAGAAGAAAAAAAAATAAAAAAAATTGAACAAAAGATTAAAGCTCATTTGGTAATGTTTGTCTTCTTATTTTAAATTTTTCTTTTTGAAAATTAGAATCAAATTTTGTTTAATATACAGTTTTTGATTTCAAAGAAATAGAAATGACTGAAATTTTCAAAAAACTTGAAAGAAGAATTTTGTCTCCTTTTTCTCTCACAACCTTCGACCACCATCCACCACCATTACCAGTTACTGTCAACAACTCTCTTACAAATTTTAATCATCTTTTCAACATGCTTCTACGATCAAAAAATCACTGCATGTTACTTTTAGAGACAATCCAACCACCAACTCCGACAGCCACCGCATTGTAGACCACAACAATCATCCACCCTCCAGCCACGGCTCCAAAACATTGTTGATTGGGTCATGCAAAATCTTAAAAACTTATTTTCAAATCATAAATGAAAAAATCTTAATATATTAATACGATTTTAAAGAAAAAACATGAATATATATATATATATATTAACAAGTTTCCATACTTTAGAATTGTTACTTAATAATTAATAACTAAGAATGTTCATAACAGGAGAAGCAAGATCTGGATTCCGATCCAAATCGGATATCTCATTATTGATACCATCAAATATGTTCTTAATTGAACTAATAAGTAAAATAATATATGAATACTTACAAAACAAAATAGTGAAATTTATTTCTACATGAGTATGAAATAATCTTCACTCATATAATTCTATTGATAAAGCTTACGCTCCTCTAAACGTCATCGTAACACCTAAAATCACAAGCGTGAGCAGGCCAGCGAATGTGTGCCGAAAACCCTTTCGATGTCTAAGCCAACAAATAGACTATGGATGCAAAAGCTTTGTGAATTCGGGAGTAAGAATTGTCAAACCTAAGATTAGGGTTTGGTTTGATCTTTTGTATATTCTGCATGACACAATTCAAGTAGGACTCAAATTCTCCTTTGTAGAATCCTTCTAAGATAATAGTTATCATTTAACACTCTTCTCACTGCAAGCCAAGTGAGATAACACAACTCTTTACTTGACTTTTGTCGTGCAGTCGGACTACTTTTGCTCTGTCCTCCACTGGATTAGCCGTACAACATGCAGCTGTGCCATGCATAGCTTGCATGGCGCGCTACCATGCTAACATTGCGCAACTTTTCCCTAACTTGGTCAAGCCTCTACACAGTCCATTTGACTGCCTTCCTTACAGCTCGGTCAAGGCGTTGACCGCTATTAGGAGGTAGCTAGGTCTAAGAATTTGGGCCTTATGGTAGTCCGGTCAAACTTTTTTAATCGGTTCCATCTACTATTCGACCCAAGCTTTTCCCAAGGCACAGCTCAGCTCGACACTCGGCTCATACCTCAAAGCTACTTCCATCTAGCTTGGCCCAATTTGATTACGCAAATTACTCTTTCAATTAAGCAAACAAAAATCTAATGGACATGTGTTGCGGTCACAAAAAATTTAATTGAAGTAGTGTTGTGCACAAATTCAAATACAGTAAAAATCCAAAAAATTGTAACTAAATCAGTGTAATGTGCATATATAAAATATATCACAAATTCGCAATATAAAATTATTGCGTTATGTAATTACAATGACGATTCAGAAGAGTGAGAGACTCCATTGCCTTTCTTTTTTTAAACTAGTGTGATCGATTTTTTTTTCATTGAACCATTGGCCTCATTGTTTGAAACTATGGGTGCAAATTTTCTACTTCCTTATTTTTAATAAAATTTAATATTAAATATAAATTAATTTTAAAAAATTGATGAGACTGACACACCACCCTCTTATATGTAGCGCTATTCCGTCTAGCACTAGCTACCACATCCAACGCCACATAAAATTGGGTTTGGGATGGCTGGTGTGCATGGTGCGTAGTAGTAATTGTTGCACATTTTATTAGACTCGTTTTAGGATTTAATTTCATAATTTAAAGTTTTGTTTGGCATAACTTATTTTAGTCAATCTTTTTATCTTTTTTAAATCACATCAATCAACATCTCCTCTCTATTTTTTTTCGCATCTTTTTATAAAAAGTCAGAAAGTACATTTATTTAGAACATCTCAAACCACCCCTAAATCGTTCATATTTTAGAAGTTATCGAGTAGAATATACCAGTAAAAAATCACGTCAATCGAATATCGTTAACCCTTTCATCAAATCATATTTATATTTTTAAAAAAAATAAAATAAATATAATTTGAAGTATAAAACCTAATGTAAATATGATTTGATGAAAGAGATAACGATATTTAATTGACGTAATTTTTTATAAATATATTCTACTTAATAATTTTTAAAATATGAATAATTTAAATTACCGATTAGACGTTAAAATGAGTCCAATAAAGAGATAACGATATTTAATTGACGTAATTTTTTATAAATATATTCTATTTGATAACTTTTAAAATATGAACGATTTAAATTATCGATTAGACCTTAAAATGAGTCCAATAAAACGCACAACAGTTCTTGCTGCAAAACATATTTGACAAAGTGTACGGCACGACATACAAGTTATTATTATTATATAAAACATAATGTAAATGTGATTTGATGAAAGAGATAACGATATTTAATTGACGTAATTTTTTATAAATATATTCTATTTGATAACTTTTAAAATATGAACGATTTAAATTATCGATTAGACCTTAAAATGAGTCCAATAAAACGCACAACAGTTCTTGCTGCAAAACATATTTGATAAAGTGTACGGCGCGACATACAAGTTATTATTATTATTTTTTATTTTAAGAAAATAAAAACAAAAATCTATTTCCAATTAATTAACAAGGGCTAACAGGTGGGTGTGGGCGTATATCAGACACGCGGGGCTTAAAGCGAGTGAGTTTTGGGTAATACCAAAACAGGCCGCTGGGGCCGCCTCCTCCTTCTTCTTCTTCACCTCCGCCAAATTGATATCTATACATACACGAACCGCGTTTTGAACCGCCGGTCCCATTCAACGTCCCTCTCTCTTCTCTCCTCTCTCCTCTCTCCTCTTTGCTTCTTCTTCACACTTCGTTCATAAGAAAAACCTCCTCTCCCTTCACACGTATTATGTATTCACATACTAATTATTACTTATTTATTACTCATCATATATAAGCGCGCGCGCACACACACTCATCATCATCGTCATCACATAAAGGGCAAACGAGCAAAGGCTCGTTTGTTCTCTCTCTCTCTCTCTCTCTCTTATACATCTTCTTCATCAGCCTTTGTCTATCCAATATTTTACAAAACCAAGAAACCACAGGCATCATCATCGTCATCATGGGAAAGAAGCTTGATGCTCTATTCGGAAGACACTTCAAATCCTCCAAGTTCAAGGCCCTTGTCAACGTTGCTGTTTCTCGCCTCTCTGTCCTCAAAAACCAGCGCCGCTCTCGCTGCTCCCTTGCCCGTTCCGACGTTGTTGAGCTCCTCAACCTCGCCCACCATGACCGTGCTCTTCTCCGGGTAACATCCAATCTTACTCTCCATTTTGCATTTTATTATATTTATTTTACCTTAGTTTTGTGCTACTACTAGTATTATTAATGGTGTTAGTGGTAGAGGTGGTGGTAGATCTGGAGGTGGTGATGATAGAGTGGTGGATTGTCAATGAAAAGCTATGATCCATCGACTTATGTTTTTTATTCTTTTTTTGGGTACTCAGACTGCATTTGAATTGGTGGTTTATTGACAGGTTGAGCAAGTTATCAAGGAGCAAAACATGTTGGATGTTTTTGTTATGATTGAAGGCTATTTTCATTTGTTGGTGGAGAGGATCAACCTTATTGAACGAGAGAAGTGAGTTCCTACTGTCTTTGATTTGTTAAAATAGCTTCAGTTACTTCCATTTGTTTTTCTATAGTTTTCGGGGTTGAAAAACAGGCTTTTTATTATGCAGAGTATGTCCCGAAGAGCTGAAAGAGGCAGTGTCGAGCTTGCTCTTTGCATCTACGAGATGTGGGGAGTTTCCAGAGCTTCAGGAGATGCGCGCAGTCCTCACATCCCAATTTGGGAAGGAGTTTGCAGGTTGTGCCATTGAGTTGCGCAACAACTGTGGAGTGAATCTAAAGGTATTTCAACAATCCACCATTTCAATTACTGGATTCATTTTGATTATGAAAATTTGAAAGTAATGTCAAATTTCATGTCTTTGTAATTTGCGTGTATAGATGGTACAAAAGCTGTCAACTAGACAGCCAAGCTTGGAGAACAGAATGAAGGTGCTCAAGGAAATTGCTTCTGAGAACAACATCATTTTGCAGATTGAGGAAACTTCTTCGGAGGCCACAGAGGTATTCAATTTATATGTTATGACAGAACAAAAAATTGAAAAAAAATAATAAACAAAACAACAAACAACAATAATTTACATGATTCGGAATAAGCCTCCATTCACAGCCAAAGAAGAGTTTCACTACGAATGTAAAGAGCTAGCTCCCTCAACACAATCCTACGTCACAAAAGCTCTCAAAACTATAAACCCTAAAATCCTGCATAACTCAATATATATATATATATATATATGTATGTATATAAGGATCCAAACAGTTCCAAACCAGGTCAAAATAGACCCAAAAACAAGTGCAAATATGTTTGTTTTGCTCACCTACGTGAATTTCTACTAATTCTTATTTTATTAATCAAAGCTCATCCTAATCTCCGTCGACATTACTGCCTTAGCCCGTCCTATCATCTGTATAGTGGAGTTGGTCATTTATTAACCGATTTTTTGGGGTAGCAATGGGTAATATGTATAATCCGAGTTTATATATATATAACATCAAGAATATATACATATATATTAACATCAAGAATTGCAACAATCCAGTTCCATTTGTTTGTTTAAAATATAGATATAGACATCAATCGTGACATGTTGATCATTATGTGATAATTGCAGGAGAAATTGGAAATTGAAGAGAAGCAGAACCAACATAATATTCCTGATGAGATAGAAAACATGGAGGGTTTGTCCGATTCAATGAAAACAACAAGAAAATACAAGGATGTAGCTGATGCAGCGGAAGCAGCTTTTAAATCAGCAGCTTATGCTGCAGCAGCAGCAAGGGCAGCAGTGGAACTCTCTAGACCTGAATCCCATGACCCTGATGATCAGAACAGTCCTCATCCTGAACAGAGAAAGATAAGTGATAAGCATGATGCGATAAAATGTACACTTCAAACTACTGACGAAAACAACCTGAGAAGAACTGAGGATCAGAATGTTGGACTTGGATTTGAGAAGGTGCATCCTATCCAAAACCACCATTCTGAATCTGAAGATGAAATTCACTGTGAAAAAAAGGCTGAAGAATCTGAAGAGAGTAAAAATGTAGCAGATTTTAAGGGATCAAGGCCAACAGAGGACACAATTTCTGATGAGAGTGGTGACGAGACAAGGAATGAACAAGGCGGAGTACAGTTGTCAAGGACCCAAGACTCGGCTTTTCATATGAAGCCTAGTTTGCTTATGAATGAAAGTTTTGATTCTGGAAAGTCTTGCACAGTTGAAGATGAAGAAGACCTATCCAAGGATAGTGCAGTGATCTCTCGATCTCAAAAGAAGTTCCCTTTAAGATCTCAAGCTGGGCTAAAAGCAGAGTCAGGTCCTGGATATCCGAAAGCAGAGAAGAGGCCAATCTCTGTGAGGACCAGACGAGCTCAAGGGCGCTGAGAAGCATACTATTATGTAATAAAGTAGTCAGGATTTCAGTAATAGCACAGGGTTTTTCCACACATTTACTTCGTTTTTTGTTGTTCATATTTTGACTTTTGTTCGCGAGAATGTAAACTAGTGTAATGGTTTTGAATTGTGAGAGCTTCTTTTCTTTTTTTTGTTTTTCCAATAAATTTTTTTGTATTTGTTCAAGGGTTCAAAGTATTTATAGCCTTTTCATATTTGAAAGGATAATATTATCTTATGTAATGCATATGGAAAAAACAAATCCGACCTATTAAAAAAGGAACAAAAGAATCAAATAATTCTGAACCAAGGGAGTCACTTGCACTCCTCGGATACTGAACTACACCAGGTAAATAATCCCTTTGATTTACCCCAATATGAAATCAAACTAAATCCCCAATTTAATTTTCTTCCTTTTTCTGTTTTTTTTTCTTCTTTTTACCCCTTTTCATGGGTCCGTATGCTTGATTGTTCTGAACCATGTCTACACCCAGTTTCAACTACATAAACATCTGTAATGCACTGTCTACAAACAAATGTAAGGTAGGAAACATCTCTAAAAAGTAAATTTAATGGTATTTGGGAATGCAGATCAAATCTTGAAAATATACAGAACCTACAAATATATGTATTAGATTTGCCTCTATGTGATTTACCATGCAATGCTTTGCAGAGAACTGAAAAGTCACTGGCCTCTAGCTCGCTTCTTTCCATGTTGCATCAGATCACAAAATGACTGCAAACTCACACCAACATCTTCATCGTATTCGATACCAAGTTCCTCCTGTAACAGCAAACACCCATTAAGCAATAACTTTTGCAAGGACATGTATAAATATGCCTATATGCATAAGGCATGGACATCGGAGAACCTTAAATTCTTTGAGATCCTTAGGAGAGTTCTCAGTTATAGCATCCCAAACATCTCTGAACATCCTTTTACGTCTTCTCCACTGACTTATTGTATCCATATACATTCCCTCCACAGCCTTACGCTCTTCTGGGCTTACGAGAGTGACTCCTCCACGTAATTTAGTTAATCTGTCCTCCATTTCCTCAACCTGATAGAGAATAAGAAGTCCTAAAATGTTGGACCAAGTTCCCCAACAGAGAAATCTTTGATATCATTTTGAAGGGAAAATGTCAGTAATGTTGATTTCATGTACCTCCTTTCTCAGATTGGCTTCTTTGGCAAGTATCTGTTCCAAAGTTAAATTTGACTGCAGAGCTTTCATTTCTGCAAGAAGAGTATATTTTGTCACACAAATAAAAGACCCATGTCTTACTTTTCATCACAATGAAGTCCATAAAAGCAAGTATATGTGCAGAAGAATAAAGATCATCACCCAAACGAAAAAATAATTAAACAATCAATAACGAAATTATTGCTCTACAAAACATATAAAAGAGGTTTAAAGAAAATACCGCCCTCAACCTCGCTAATTGCTCTTCTTTGTTCATTGAGCTGCTCTTGTAACTTGGTGTTTTCTTCTTTCATCTTAGTAAGCTCTTCACTGTTTGGAATGACAAATTGATCTTGTCGAGCGAGGTATATTTTCTGCTTACCATATTCCTTGAATGATATCCGCCCACTATCAGCAAGACTATCCAGCGCCTTTTGTATTGAAGCCTTTTTGAGGTTGAACTTTTGAAGAAAATCAGCTACATTTTGAGAATTTAATGGTCTATTTTGCTGGATGAAGGAAAAACATATAAATATCAAGGGAAGGAACTCAAAACAACAATTAAGATAGGTGGCCACAGAGTAGTCACAGGTACGCACAAGTGCAGACAAAATTATTCGGAAGCACATTCTATTTGATGTGGCAGAAAATAATTTCAGGGAAATATTTCTTGAAAGAGTTTAAACTTTAGGTCAAGAGATTCTACATCCATCAGAGTAAAAGGGCAAATTAGTTATTGAGGATGTGTATTGGTAGTAATTAGTTTGGCATTTTTATACAGTATGACGGTGTGAACCACCTATTTCTTTCTTTCTTTGTTTCTAGTTAATTTATACAATAAAACTTGGATTTCAAACACCATAGAATAGAATTAACCCAAAACCTGCCTTGAGATTTCAAATTCTATTTTGCTTCGAACTTTATCATTCAGCAATCAACTAGCTGTCATTCATCTTGTTAGGCATGAGAAAAGTGTATCAAAATGTACCCCCCCAAAAAAAAAATGTACACATAAAAGCATATTGATATGTACAATAATTGCCTTGCGATTCTAGTCTATGGGACTGTGTTAGCATAACTGGGACCATAAATATATCCACAATAAAACAATTTCAGTCCTGCTAACCTAAATGAATAATTGAATAACCATTTCAAAGCAGAGAAACAGGTAGTGAACCCACGAAAACCAGATAATCTCATCCATCAAAACTTAAATTAAACCAATCAACTTGGGTTACACACACACACTCTTAATCAGTACTCAAAAAATGCTTTACCTCATTCACAAAGTTGAGCACAATCCCTGCAATTATGAAAAAAAATAAAATAATAATAAAAATCGGTTTCAATAGATGAATTCGATTCACCGATCTATGAATTTTCACAAACATAGTCAAATCCGAGAGAGAGAGAGAGAGGTTGATTTCACCTTCAGCGCTGTCAGATTTGGGCGCCATTTTGGATCTGAGAAATGGAGAAGACGAAGCTCGCGCGGGAAATCTCTGAAACTTTCGTTTGTGTTATGTGCTTCAAAATCTCATTTACATCTTGCTTTTGTAAGACCATCTTTAACATCTATAATTTAGCAATAGATAAGGTCATTTTATCAAATTATAACAATAGTATTTTAGTGATCATTTGTTATTTTGATAAATCTTAATCAACTTTTTCTTTAAGTTTGTAGGTGTTATTCATAAGGATGGCAATTTAAACTCGGCCCGACGGAGATTCGCCTCCCCAACCCCGATTAGAGTGGTTTTTCTCCGAAAAATATTCCACAATGAACCGGAGATGGTATTTAAAATAAATCTCCAATAATTTTCAAGTCGAGGGATGGTGATATATTTTCCAACCCCTTCTTTGCCCATCCCCAACCCCAACCCCAACCGCGTCCCCGTTACCCCCCCTAAGTAAACTAACTATATATAATATATTCGAGTAAACTAACTACATATAATATACCCCTCTGTTATGTCTCTCTCACTCTCTCTATTCCCTCTATTCTCTCACTCTCGCTCCTCTCCTTCTCGCACTCTTGCACCTTTCCTATCCTCTTTCTCAGCGCTACTGTCGAAATCGCCGTTCAACTCGCACCGCCACCTCCTCCGTCCCCTACTCTCATCTTCGTCGTCCTCCTCAGTCATCTGTCGCAGTCTCACAAAGATCTCAAATCTGTGTTGATCTCCTCCGTCGTGTTGCTGATCTTCGCCGATCTCCATCTCTATTGATCTCCTCCGTCGTCCTCGCCCTTCTCTGCCAATCTTCTCCATCGTCCTCTCTCTGTGTGTGTATGTGTGTGTGTGTGTGTCTCTGTGTGTATGTATACATGTTGTTGATGATGTTGTTGTTGTTGATGATGATGATGTTGATGTTGAAAGAAGTTGTTCATGACGTTATTGAAACAGATTTGGGTAGGGAATTTTTGGGGTCGAAGAAACCCAATTCCCGTTGAGGGCGGGGACGATAATAGGTCCCCTGTCGGGGATCGGGGCCGGAGACGGGAAAATTTTCACCATTAGGGATCAGGGATGGGGAGTGTGATCCCCGACCCGTTGCCATTCCTAGTTGTTTGGATTTAGGTTTTTTTTGTGATTTTATTTTTGTTTATTTTTTGTCTTTTGTGGCCTTTTTTTTAATTGTTTGTAAAAAAATTATATATTTATATTATTCCCGACTAAACAAATATAAAAAATGAAAAAAAAAATGAAAAAATTGGGAAAAAAAATTAAATGTAATTCACCCCACCAAAAAACATATTACTACATATTTAATAAAAAATTTTAACTACACATAAAAAATAAACAAACACCAATTACCCACCAACAATCATCCATCATTCACCTAGCATTATATATTGCAAAAATAATATTACATTCTTTTGTAGAAAATACTCAAAAATAAAAAAACAAATATGAAATTTCATTACAAAATAAAAATATGACATTGCAAATAAATACCAACAATTACATTAAAAAATAAATGACATTGCAAAATTTAAAATATATTATCCCGTAATTATTCATCAGGAGGTAGAGAGAAATAGTAATTTGTGTTTCTGACATTTGGGGACCACTTGGCAAAAATCTCATTTTTTCGCATTGTGTAATACGCTTTCATCTGAGGGTCCAAATGAAAAATGTTCGTAGTCATTATTATATGTCATTCCTTTTTCGTCTCATGTGTTTTGTCTTTTGATCTCAAAGTCATATTTTTTCATCTCAAGTTCTTTCATCTCCAATAGTGCTTTAATTCTTTTTTCTTATCTTTCATCTTTTTTCTTTTTCTTTTCAACAAGATGTTGGTTAAATGTCTCCAATTGTATGCTCATTTTTTGGACTTCAACTTTAGCGACTTGATTTTTCTGAAATAATTCTTTTACAGCTTCCCTACCCATAAGCTTTTTACCTCTTACAGAGACACTACCCTCGCCAACAATTAGATTGTTACCAATACTTGGACTGGTGTCATCTTCAAGAGAAATGCAGTTATCCATAGAGGAATCAGGGGCTGAACCAGGGGAAAATGGTGTATGTATCCTCAACTTCACCGTGTTCGTAGGAGTTACATCTTGCCACCTGATATTATTTTACAATATTGGCCAATAATGTTCAAAAGCAAAATGTTTGTTTTCATCTTGATGGTATAACAGTTTTGCTTGAAGTATTTGTATCAATAAAATTGAAAATTAATTAATTAGTTAATTTTTATAAGAAACTAAACATAATAACTGAAGATGAAAACTTACTATATCAACTTGAGATATCCCACTTGGGTGAAGATTTTCGACCTGCGCTAAACATCTCCGAAATTAGTTGGAACATTTCATGATTATACCCCATCAAGATTGGATAGACACTTGTGTTCTTGACTGATCATTCTGAAGCAAGCAATAATTTTCATAAATTATCTCCCAAAAGTGAGCATATGATTACGAATTGCCAACAATTGGGTCTTCCGAAATGTGATTTTGTAAATTGCCATATATTCTTTAATGGTGAATGACTTTCCTCTCTTTGTTTTTGATGAACTTTCTATAGTGATTATATAAAAAAACGAAAAAGAAAATAATTTTGGAGGTTTGCTATGAAATCAAATTCAGAGAAAGAGAGGGAGAAAAGAAAAATGAAATCTAAATGTTTGCTATGAAATAAAATTGACATGGAGAGTTTCTATTTATAGAAATTCAAAATATTACCGTTTGAAAAAAATAGCCATTTGAAGATAGCTGTTGTCACAAAAAAAAATATTATTATTAAAAAAAAATACAAAAAAAAATAAACAGAGCACAACGGCTGTTTAAAGGGCAGAGCGGGAGATCACAATCGTCCCCGTCTATATGTTTAATGGTTTAAATGATTCTCTAGAATCATCCAACCCTCTCTCTCTCTCACTCTGTCTTCCCTCTCCTCAAACCGATCTCTCACTCTCGCTTTCTGTGAAAACCCATCTTTTAATTATTCTTTAAAGATAATTAATTAATTAATTAATTTTGTCTACAGTCTATCTGAATTATATATTAGTGTAAAAGTTAGTTTTAAATTGACTCAATTCAATCACTAACAAGACATTATTAAGAATAATAATTTTGTGGGTGTTCAATATTTGTTGTTTATAAATTATTTTAATTAGGATTCAATATAATAAGAATGGAACGAAGCGTGTGAACAGTCATTTCAAGAACTCAAGAAGAGACTAACAAGCGCTCCCATATTAATCATACCCGAACGCGACGTTGGGTACACTGTTTATTATGATGCCTCTAAGGAAGGGTTAGGTAGTGTGTTACTGCAAAACGGGAAGGTAGTAGCTTACGAATCAAGACAATTGAAGAATCATGAGAAAAATTATCCTACTCACGATCTGGAGTTGGCGGTTGTGGTCTATGCACTTAAGACTTGGCGACATTACCTTTATGGCAAAAAAATTTGAGATATTTGCCGATCACAAAAGCTTAAAGTACTTGTTTACACAAAGAGATTTGAACATGAGGCAGAGACGCTAGATGGAGTACCTTGAAGATTACCAATTCACCTTGTCTTATCATCCCAGGAAGGCTAATGTTGTAGCAGATACACTAAGTCGAAAGATAAGAGAGATTGTAGCCAACATATCAATTAAAGAATGGGACATGGTAAGCACTGTGAATGAGTTTAAGTTACAACCAGAGACTCAGAATGGGAAGGGTAGGTTGTTTACAATAACTACAATACCCCAACTTCTTACCAAAGTATTGGAAGCCCAAAGATTTGATCAGGGGATCGACTCCATCAAGGCCCGATTAGTGTCCGGGGAATCTTCACCAGATTGGACGCTCCATCAAGATGGTAGTTTAAGGTATTTAGATAGAATTTTTGTGCCAAACATCGAACAATTAAGAGACGAAGTACTTAAAGAATTTCACCATTCAGTTTTTGCGGTTCATCCGAGAGGAAACAAGATGTACTAGGATCTTAAGCGACAGTCTTGGTGGAGTGGAATGAAGAAGGACGTTGCTCAATTCGTATCTAAGTGCTTGATGTGTCAACAAGTGAAGGCAAAACATCAAAAGCCGGTAGGGAAACTCCAACCTTTACCAATACCTAAGTGGAAATGGGAACACATAACAATGGATTTTGTAACGGGATTACCCCGGTCGCCGCAAGGCCATGTTGCCATTTGGGTGGTGGTTGATCGATTATCTAAGAAGGCACATTTCCTACCAATAAGACCAGCAGACACACTCGAATCTTTAAGTCGATTATTTATTCGAGAAATCATTAGATTGCACGGAGTACCAGTCTCAATAGTGTCAGATTGTGATTCTCGTTTTACGTTACAATTCTGGCAAAGTCTGCAGAAAGTCTTGGGTACAGAGTTGTGTTTTAGTACAGCTTTTCACCCTCAAACTGACGGTCAATCAGAAAGAACAATTCAGACTTTAGAAGACATGCTTCGAGCTTGTGTGATGGACTTTAAAGGTAGTTGAAAGAAACATTTACCATTAGTCGAATTCTCTTACAATAACAGTTTTTAAGCAAGTATTAGTATGGCACCGTATGAAGCTTTGTACGGACGGCCTTGCCGGTCACCAATATGTTGGACAGAAGTCGGAGAAGCACCTCTTTTAGGGCCAGAGTTAGTTCAAGAAACTACCAAGAAAGTGAAACTAATTAGGCAAAGGCTTGAGACCGCTCAGAATAGGCAGAAAAGCTATGCAGATCAAAGGAGAAGACCTTTAGCATTTAAAGTTGGAGATCATGTGTTTATGAAAATACAGCCTCGTTGAGGAGTTGTTCGTTTCGGAAAGAAGGGAAAGTTGTCACCTCGCTTCATTGGACCTTTTGAAATTTTGGACAAAATAGGAGAAGTGGCATACCGTTTGGCTCTACCGCCTCAACTGGCTGGAGTACATAATGTTTTCCACATCTCTATGCTACGGAAATACGAGCCACACCCTTCTCACATCATCAATTGGGAGGAAATTAATCTTGATGAAGACGTGACATTTGAAGAAAAGCCTGTCAAGATTTTAGATCGTCGCGAGAAGAAATTACGAGGCAAGACTATACCATTGGTTCGAGTTCTCTGGA